CCGCCAAACTTAAACCTGGGGTTTTTAAAAAAAAATCCCCAAAAAAAAATGAAAAAAATTCCCCTTTAAAGTTTAATACCAAAATTATGTGGGGGGTGAGGACAGCTGTATCATGATCCCTTTAGTTATACCAAATATGTGGGTGAGACACCAAGGCACCTTGTATTTACCCCAAAAATAATGTGAGAAGCATTACATATCAGTATCTGAATGTTATGAAATCAATGAGTATCAACATATTGATGCAGAGTTTAATAGTTATTTAAAATAAAAATTCCAAAAATACAATACATGAAAAAAATTAACTTATAAACAAGATTGCGGTTGTAATAATTGATAAAGACATGTACAACAGGCATTTAATAATATAAAATCAAACATAAATGCAACACCAATAATATTTTCAACAATATTTACTTCCAAACAAACATTCTTAAAATGTAATGAATATGAGCATGTTCCTCATGAACGATCCAACCTATTATAAGGCAGGACCTTTCCTTCATGCAACATGTTTAATATGTGATTATTTGTGTGAATATCGATTGCAGAAATTGTTATTTGGTATGATAAGCTAGTATTTGAGACTTGTTCATTGACACGTGTTTAGTCTACCTTTGCCTACAGTTTGTTTCAACATATTTGTATTGTACGGACTGTAAAACAATGATTACTCGTGATACTTTGAGATATTTTCTGTCAAAAAAAAGCGTTGCCAAAAAGACCGGAATACCAGTTTGGTAGTTAGCTGTTGTTTATACAGCGAATAAGGCCTATATTTGTGTGTCTCAGTGTTTATACAGCGAATAAGGCCTATATTTGTGTGTATCAGTACGCATAGAGTCCATTTCTGTGTGACACAGTCCAAGGCTCGGCCGTGTAGGTCTCCCCGAGGCAAGAGCAAAGTAAAGTAACATGAAATGAAATGGATTGGATTTGATTTGTTTCGTTTTGTCTTGTTTTTTGATTTGACTCTGTCTTTTTAATTTGGTTTGTTGTTGTTTGTTGTGTTTTTGTTGTTGTGTCCCCCTCCCCTCCCCCCCCCTGTTGGTTGTTATTGGTGTTGGTGTATGTTTCTTGTTCCTTGGATGTTTTGTTGTTGTTTTGGTGTGTGTGTGCCTTTCTTTCTTTGTCTGTCTGTCTTTGTGTCGCTCGTGTAATCAATCCTACAGACTGATAGCTGGTTATTAGGTAAGTGACAGACTGACTGACTACATTTTTGTTGTGTTTGTTGTTTGGTCCTTGTGTATGATTATGCTGTGGTGTGGTGTGGTCTGCTCTGCTCTGCTCTGCTGTGTTCATGCTTGATACAAGTAGTTGTTTCTTTTGTCTTTGTCTTTGGTTTGGTTTGTGTGTGAGATGTGTATTGAGTTTGATTCTGTTTGTTAATAGTGATTGATTGAGTGTGACTGAATGAATGGTTTGAATGTGTGTGTTTTGACAAAGCTCTGATATTCTTTCACTTATATTCCATAAACGTTTATATAAGACTGAAAGACTCACAATACTTGAGTTATTCATAATTTGTTGGTTGCTTGCTTTGTGACTTCGTTCATGCATATATGTATGACTAAGTAACACCAACTAACGAACATACTAGTAATTTAAAGAAAACAAACTTGTGCATCCCCAATATGATGCTCACTTCATCTGCAACATTGACGCTACTATTGATTCTTCAATATTGTAAGTCAAGCTATCCTTGTAGTTAATTAGTAATTAACACAAATCCACCACCCCTCGTACACACAAGTATATAACGCTCAATAAATATACACAAACAAACTACATTTATATATCGAGTCGTGTGGCCCAAAAATGATTGATATGACTTGCATAATAGACACCCACTCATAATTAACCGTCAACATAAGAGTGTGTTAAAAAAAAAAAAAAATAATAGTCACCCCTTACAACATGGATCTTTCACTCTCTGATACCCAAACAAGTTGCCATAACCTATCATTGCATTGATTCGATCCATGTATGAATGTATGGTAAACTCTGCCATTCTTTATATGTAGGAAAATGATTTTTGCCCAGAAACATGCTCCCTCTAACGACGACAAGCCCAAAAGCTAACTAAATAAATCAAACACTTAAAAAAAATACAAGCGAGAGCCAAATAGTCAGTCAACGATGATATCTCTGTAATAATTTTTAGGACCTAAGATAGGTCCAAGGTTTTTGGTGGTAATGGTTGTCGTTTGGTGGTTGACGTTTTCGATCTTGTTGAAAACGTTTAACCTCCGAAACCGTACAGGGTGCGTCCCTGGCGCTTGAGAGCGTAGACGACGTCCATGGCGGTGACGGTCTTCCTCTTGGCGTGCTCGGTGTATGTGACGGCGTCACGGATCACGTTCTCGAGGAATACCTTGAGGACACCACGGGTTTCTTCGTAGATGAGACCAGAGATACGCTTGACACCTCCACGACGGGCAAGACGACGGATGGCAGGCTTGGTGATACCCTGGATGTTATCACGCAACACCTTGCGATGACGCTTGGCGCCCCCCTTTCCGAGACCCTTTCCGCCCTTTCCACGTCCAGTCATGGTAGCGACTTGTCTTGCTGCGAGTAAACGAGAAGATGATCCGCCTGGCAAACCCTAGCAATGGTACCTGTTCCCTACCCTCGCGTAGCGCTCAGGCTTGCCGCATCAAGCGGCCGCTCATCTTAACCGCCCGCTCTAAGCAAATAAACTTGTTTACACCTTCCAATCCATCAAAAGTCACCTGATCCATTACACGCATATGTTTGCAATCACCTTGTTGATGACATCCTGTATTAATTGTCCCATTTCTCATCAAGGATTTCCTTTGATCACAGGTAAAGTTGGCCAGGTCTCTGGTCCTGCTTACACCGGGGAAATGGGCGGCGCCAACGCACACTGTGCCAGCCACACACTTCTCCGCACGGCCAAGCCCGCTCTGGTATAAATTCAGCTCTTGAAAAGCCGGCCAGACTGTTTCCTATCTGTACAGATACAAACAATCATTCGCAATGGCTCGTACCAAGCAGACTGCCCGCAAGTCTACCGGAGGCAAGGCCCCCGCAAGCAGCTGGCCACCAAGGCAGCACGTAAGTCTGCCCCTGCTACCGGAGGTGTCAAGAAGCCCCATCGTTACAGGCCTGGTACTGTTGCCCTTCGTGAGATCCGTCGTTACCAGAAGAGCACTGAGCTCCTCATCCGCAAGCTGCCCTTCCAGCGCCTCGTCCGTGAGATTGCCCAGGACTTCAAGACTGACCTCCGCTTCCAGTCCTCTGCTGTCATGGCTCTGCAGGAAGCCTCCGAGGCTTACCTGGTCGGCCTCTTCGAGGACACCAACCTGTGCGCCATCCATGCCAAGCGTGTAACCATTATGCCCAAGGATATCCAACTTGCTCGCCGTATCCGCGGAGAGCGCGCCTAAGATTTTGGTTGCTAGCTTGCTTGCATACATCAAAATCATCCTCCTCGGCCCTTTTCAGGGCCTAAACTAATCAATATTGAGATGAAAGCATGACATGCTTCCTTTTTTATTATTTTCTTGTTTGCTTTAGTTTTTGATGTCAAATGTAACCAGCAATGACGATTATAATCAATGACATTGCATAGATAGATAGATAAATAGGTATGCAACTAGTAAGTAAGGTAAGGCGAAGCCATGCATGACTGACTTTCAACATGTTGTCAACGCACTTGATTTCCTTATCGTATACGTTTCGGTATGAGTACTATGCCAAATATTAAATACTACAACAATATACATTGTAATATTTGTCGAGCGACCGACCCAACAGACATAAAGACACACACTGTCTTAAACATAAGTCATTACTAAATATAATAATAATGTTATATAACATTGAAGATCGAATGACACATGCTGTTTATATATATTATAAATCAATATAATGTCTTGACAATTATACAAATCTATCTATCTATATAATACACACACACACACCTACAACATAGACATATATACGTACATTATATATATTATATATATATATATATATATATATATATATATATATATAATATATATATATATATATATATATATATATTATATATCTGTATACATATACACATGTATGTCTAATATAAATCTATTCACCCACTCTCTGTCTCTTACATTAATACATACCCTATTCATTGATATGCCATGCATAATGCATGTGTTATATTTGTAATTATGGAAGCCATATATGTTACTATGATATACAGGCATATATACTTTCAACATATATTTCTATACATCTATATATATATTCACACACAGCTTTCATCTCTCTCTCTCGTATATCACACACACACTTCCTCTATCCTTAATCATACATACATACAGACAGACAGACAGACAGACAGACAGACACACAGACAAACACACACACACACACACACACTTCAGTAAAAACGATTAAAATGAATCCCTTACTCGAAATCGAACGATTCAAACGAACATTACATTGATATATATGTTGATATTACTGTACTTTGAAAGAATGCACAAGGCAAATTGGTTAATGTCATTTCTATCTACTTTTGCATGTTCTGTGGCTCCTAAAGGAGCCGATGTTGTTGTAGGAGACCGGAGAAACCGAGCAACCAAGCAATTTACTTAGAGGAAGTGTACTTGGTGACGGCCTTGGTGCCCTCGCTGACAGCGTGCTTGGCCAGTTCACCGGGGAGCAGAAGCCTGACGGCGGTCTGAATCTCCCGGCTGGTGATGGTGGAACGCTTGTTGTAGTGGGCAAGGCGGGAAGCCTCAGCGGCAATGCGCTCAAAAATGTCATTCACGAAAGAATTCATGATGGACATGGCCTTGGAGGAGATACCGGTGTCAGGGTGGACCTGCTTCAACACCTTGTAGATGTAGATGCTGTAGCTCTCCTTCCTCCTGCGCTTCTTCTTCTTATCACCCTTGGTGATAGACTTTTGGGCCTTACCGGCCTTCTTGGCAGCCTTTCCGGAAGTCTTGGGTGGCATGATTGACAACACTCGCAAGAGGTATTGCTATAAACTCCAAACTATGATTTTTCCTTTTATAGTGCACCACCAGCGCCAGCCTCGGCTGGCCAAGGAAAGCGTGGGCCACGCTATTGGCTCAATCCCCGGCCATCCCGCATTGCCACATGTCCCAATGAGACCGTTTCACCTGGAGCCACCTATAAATACCAAGCTTTGCCCGTCGCAACTATGATTTTTGATTCTTTTGAGCAAAGTCATAGCAAACTATCAACATGTCTGGTCGTGGTAAGGGCGGTAAGGTAAAGGGCAAGTCAAAGTCCCGCTCAAGCAGGGCCGGCCTTCAGTTCCCCGTCGGTAGGATTCACCGCCTTCTGCGTAAGGGCAACTATGCTGAACGTGTAGGTGCTGGTGCCCCTGTGTACCTCGCTGCCGTTATGGAGTATTTGGCTGCTGAAGTCCTCGAGTTGGCAGGTAATGCCGCCCGTGACAACAAGAAGACCCGTATCATCCCCGTCACTTGCAGCTGGCCATCCGTAACGACGAAGAGCTCAACAAGCTCCTCTCTGGCGTTACCATCGCCCAGGGTGGTGTCCTGCCCAACATCCAGGCTGTGCTCCTCCCCAAGAAGACCGAGAAGAAGTAAATACTTTCCGTATTACCTCTTTTCAACTACATCGGCTCCTTTTGGAGCCACAAAGACTAAATAAGAGAAATATCTGACCAAACCAATAAATATTCCTGTTATGTTATCTAGACTAGCAATAATGGAACTCACAATAAAATACCCACTGTCGATACAATAATGTAGTGAACGCTATCACTCATACATTGAAACTGAGCAAAATTGCAACCAAACAATACAATACAGGAAACCCATTTCATATACAACTCCCTTGCACTTCGAAACGTATGTATGTATAAACAAACATATGCAATATGTGTGTGAGTGCGCGTGCGTTTGCGTTAGTATAGAAATACTACTAAATAATAGTGACTAAATAAAAAGAAATCTCGTGTAATATATATATATATTATATATATATATTACATACATTACATACATATATAATACACACATATAGTATATAATATACATGCATATATAAAACATAAATGTATGTATGTATATGATATTTATGTGTTTTATATATGCATGTATATCTATATATATCCTATATCTATATATATCTATATTCATATCTATATCTATATCTATATATATATATAATATATATATATATATATATATATATATATATATATATATATATATATAATATAATATATATATATATATATATATATATATATATATATATATATATATATATATATATATATATGTGTGTGTATTATATAACTATGTATATATCTACTATGTATGTGCGTTACATATATATCATATACATACATACATATAGAACACACATATATATATAGTATATATATACATATATAATATTATATATATATATATATATATATATATATATATATATATATATATATATATATATATATATATATATGTGTGTGTGTGTATTATATATGTATATATATATACTATATATGTGTGTTCTATATGTATGTATGTATATGATATATATGTAACACACATACATAGTAGATATATACATAGTTATATAATACACACATATAGTATATATATACATATATAATACACATATAGTATATATAACACATACGCATGTATGTACATAAATATATATTGTACATGTACGTGTACATATAAATAAAATAAATAAATAATAAATGGTTGCGTCAGAAAGTAATTCCTAATTAATATAAATATTTATTGTTATCACTAACCTTGATCATCATGGGAAATATGCACGCGTTCGTTTGTCTTGACCATGGCTGACCTCGTGTTTAGGAATGTCCGGTAAAGCGAACGGTGGCTAGGCTAGGGCGTACGAGTTCGTTCGACGTGACCGGGTGTGACCTGAAGTGTAGGAATAATGTTAGATTGAATGTTGCGTATGATTTGTTTTCCCCAATTAATATAATGAATCAAAACGGTAATGAAAATGCGTTCATCATTCAAATCAAAATGTAGAATATAAATAGGAGACTGTATATATTTATATTACATCACTTTCGAATCTCTATATATCATGATGTATGCATGCAGCTATATATACACATATATGTTACTAAAATGAAAAATTATTTACTTATGTTATATATGTATTTATGTACCTAGGTATGTATGTGTGCAGGTGCATATGCATGTGCATGTATAAAGCATGTACGTGTATCTTGTGTACATAAATATATATATGAAGAAAAGACATGAGCGTTATGCATAATCTAAATATGACAATATCCTAGAAATGCATACCAGAAATATGACATATATGAAATACAATATTATATAGACACGCAATTATGACTATATTGTACATAAATAACACTGACTCGACGTCTTACTCTGTAAAAACAAGTAAAAGTGACGAGCATCCATCCAAAAACTGCAACATGATTGATCATTAACAAAGACAGAAGATAGAATGAAAATAATAAACAAATTGTAACGAATAATCAAACTTGGTTATGTTTTGTTATTTCATTTGTTCTTATGTATGCGCAGCAGTAGCAAAGTCACCCACCCCTGAAATATTGTTTGGAATGAAAAATAAAATCACAATACAAAAACAAGATTTGTGTGGTTCTATCCATTAATATGGCGGCAGTTCCGTGCAAACATGTCCGTTCAACTGACTAGGTAAGATTGCTAACAAATGTATACAAAACGTGCACCACTATGAAAACAAAACACATGTTATTATATACTGAAAGCGCTTTGCAAGTGTCCCACCGCACTGCCCACGTGTTCACGTGAAAAAAGATGAAGAATAAATGACAAGTCTGACGTTCCGGGATAGGAGGAGGGCACGCGACCGATGGTATTGGAGGGGGAGAGTGGGGGGGTAAAGTGAATTACAAAAACCCATAAAAGCGTTTATACAATGACTGACTAAGTATACAATGGGTATGACCTTTTATATAATAACAAATATTAGGTATAGATTGATAAATAACTATATATTAAAATCTCAATAAAAATATCCTTTACTCACCCCTATGCGCATATTAAAAACAGTTGTTTGTAAGCCGTATTATAATAACATACTACGAAATAAAAACGATTTGTCTCATTCAAAGATGCGATGAACATTTGTAACCATTTATCATGAACACCAAATAGAAATATCATTAATGTTGTTACTTTGAATCGTACTGCGTAGGCCTATGTACAAGTGTATATATATATATATATATATATATATATATATATATTTCCTTTCATATATATAAAATTAATCGTCACAGCAAAATTGTCAAAGAGTAATATATGTATTTTTATTATAATTTATTAATCACAAGACAATAGCAAGTATATTTTGTATCGAAACAAATATATTGCGTTCGTCTTTGCGGCATAACATGACAATCAATCACCCAGTACATGAAAAAAAAAAAAAAAACAACAACACTTGTACGTAATAAGCTATGTGTAATAATCGATAAATAACAAAGAGATATAACGATTAAAAATTATACAAATATATATCTATATAATATGAAAAAAAAAACATATAAAATATAACAATAAATAATAATAATAATATTATTAACTATGATACAATAATACAGTAATTTATAACATGTACTAACCTTAAAAATTAAGTCCTTCCAGTGCTTCCTTCGAAATTCAACAAAATCGTCCGTGAAATGCGTTGTTATATAAGTCCTTGATGTATTTTCATTTTGCCGTCACTGTGTCATAACAAACACACAAAAGAGCCTAATTCAAGTTATTCACAATACACACACAAAAATAATGCAAACGGTCTGTATCAGAAGCACTGTACAGCAGGATATGTTGACGCGACGACAGTTGGAATGCAAATGGAGGACTAGAGCTTCCGCGAGAGGTAACACAAACAGTGGGAAGGAAGGATTTAGGGTGGTGGTGATTAACAGACTGTTTTATCGTCATTGATTTTGCAGAAGAAATATATAAGATTTTATAATTTGCAAAAGTTTTTAGTTATTTTGGGAGTAATTGAAAGATGAAATGTGAGGCAAAGGAAGAAGAGGAGCATGTCGAGATAAATAGAAGGAATGAAAAAAGGATAAAAAAGAGAGAAGGGGGAATAGGCCGGGTAGCAAGAGCAGCGAGAGATGATGGGGAGGGGAAAGGGGGGGGGGGGGGTCTGATTTTGTTATGTCAACATAACAAGACCTCACACTTTCGGTGTGCTGCTAACCTAACCTAATCCTATTTAGAGTAATAAATGCACCTACTATACGTAAACAATCGTAATCATCACACACCGTGTATAAAATATACCATAGTATATGTCTATAAACAAGCAAAACCATAAAAATATAGCTGAACATACATATAGGAGAGGAGAGGAGAGGAGAGGAGAGGAGAGGAGAGGAGAGGAGAGGAGAGGAGAGGAGAGGAGAGGAGAGGAGAGGAGAGGAGAGGAGAGGAGAGCAAATATTATTGATAACATAAAATACATGTACTAACCTTCACAAAGATGTCCGTCCAATGCCTCGTTCGAAATTTTTGATACTCGTCCGTCCAGTGAAAATGACCGTTACAAAGGTTTTAAATCATCGCAGAGACACTACACACGAAAAATTTCCGCGGCGACATCGAGAATGTAAATGAATAACGCAAGCACTGGAAAGGATTTGGGGTGGGTTGGGGTGGGGTTGGGGTGGGGTTGGGGGTGTGGGTGTGGGTGGGGGGGGTGGTGGTGGGGGTGGTGGTGGTGTGGGTGGGGGTGGGGGTGGTGGTGGTGTGGGTGGGGGTGGGGTGGTGGTGGTGGTGGTGTGGGTAGGGTGGGGGGTGGTGGTGGTGGTGGTGGTGGTGGTGGTGTGGGTGATGAGTGAGGGTTGAGTGGTGTGTTTGTTTTGGCACGACATCCACTTTTCATATTTTCTGTACCTCAAGCTAACCCAACATATCCTCCTTACTACTTTTGAATAACAAGGAAATGGAAGT